TGCAGGCCCCACCCTGGCAGCACCCACGCTGTCCCCGATTTAGCCGCTGCTGAAACTGATCAGGGGCTGATTCCAGGAAGCCTGAGGCAGAGCTGCTCTGCCCCGGGCTTCCTGGAATCAGCCCCTGATCAGTTTCAGCAGCGGCTAAATCGGGGACAGCTGGGGTGCTGCCAGGTTGGGTCCTGCAGCCCCGAGGGACAGCGCTATGGGACCAACCCGGAAGCACTCCAGCTGCTCTGCCCTAGGTGTCCCCGATTCAGCCACTGGTCAGTTTTAGCAGCGGCTGAATTGGGGAAGCTGGGGGCAGAGCAGCTCCAGTGGTCCGGCTGCCCGGAGCACTTCCGGATTCCTGATGGTGCCGGACCATCAGAGTTTTACTGTAAATGATGCTGCAATTTGAAGTTTTATGATCAAGTATGGGGGAAATTTTTAAACTATTCAAGACTACCATGCTAGTACCATGCTTTAGGGTCCAAAGTAGAGATGAACTTCTGGTCCCTATCTGTATGTAACCCTGGGCCTGTGTTTGAGATGAGTTTGAATGTAGCTGAGTGCACGCTAATCTCAAATGCTGTTTGTAAGAATTCTGTTTAAAGAGTTGGGCCCTGGCTGTGCAGGCAAGTAAAACTGTTTTTCAAATAATCGCATTTAGAGGCATTTAAAATATGGTTTAATACCATATTTATGAATTATGGGTCTGAACCATGTTTCCCAGAATAGATAGTAACATGTTTCTGTGTCTGAAGAAATTGAAGGGGACCTTTCAACTGGAAGACAGCTTACTTCTGCTCTTTGATTGCTAGATGTGATGGATTATAATCTTTTTTTTCTTAATAGGAAAATATACTTATATGCCAACATAAAGTGAGGAATAAGCCCTTCAGCTGAGATACTATCTTGACAGCCTGAGTGAAGGAAGGGGAATTAATGTTCCTGTACATGCCCTTGGCTTAAAAAAAATAAGAATACAGGCAGTCCCCGGGTTACATACAAGTTAGGGACTGTAGGTTTGTTCTTAAGTTGAATTTGTATGTAAGTCGGAACTGGTAGGGGAAACTCTAGCCAAACATTTCTCCAGAGCTCAGTTTTATTCTCCTATACCTCACTTCCCTCAGTCCTTAATTCTCAAGCTGAGGTGTCTGCTGAGAAAAGCCGCTCCGCGTCTCTCTGGTCTGCTGGGGGGGTGCTAGCTTCGCGTCTCCCTGGTCTGCTGGGGGGAAGCAGCTAGTGCGGGGTTGCCTCACCCCGTTTGTAAGTAGGGATCCGATGTAAGTCGGATCCATGTAACCCGGGGACTGCCTGTACCCCATAACCTGTATTGTAGCTTCTGTCATTTCAATTTTATGACTTTGGGACTGGGGGGAAACAGTGAAAATTTAAAAAATAATTATTTAGTCATCTAAATATATATGTTTGTTGCTAGATCTGTGAAGTAATTCAGGTACTCTAGAATCAAAGCTACAGTTCAAAACAGTCAACGCTTTACATAGCTTTAAAATGTTCTCGCTTCACTCAGTCTGAATTAATTAAGTTGATGTTTTTCCCACTTCCCTTATATTTCTCAAGGATGGGATTCCACTGGCCTCCATTTTGCTCAATATCCCACTTACATCTTCATGTCCTGGCCCCAGCCAGTCAGCTGGGATTCTTGTCCAGGATGATATACAGAATCAATTCCTACTGGTTTATCACGGTAAGTGCAGCATAGCTGGTTTAATAGATTTCTGATTACAAACATAGAATGTGAATGCTTTCAAATGGTTTGAAATAGTGAACTGCTTGGGCCTAATTTGAAAGCCTTAACCAAATCTAATGGGCCTCATAGCCAACCCAAGGCTCAGAATGTCAAGTTTTTTTAGACCCAGCCCAAAATGATTCCAGTGCTTTCCCCTGAACCTTGAATTATAGCCACTCCCTTGTCCTTGGTGCTGATCTTGAACAGCACTGCTTTTCTCCCTACATTTGCAGTCTGTCTTTGGCCTGCTTCTGCCCATGAAGTCAGAGCAGTTGCTGTTCTGTTTAGTGAGTTTGTCAACAAGTGATAGAACTTCCCACTACTCATCGTACATAGCACAGGAAAGTGTCAGTAGGGAGCAAGAGCAGGGCGTGGAGCTGTTGGTGCACTGACCCCAGGGTAGACAGAGATGATGAGAGCCTACTCATCACAAACCTGACATGTCTGGACTGTTTTTAGATGTAATCTGGTACTTGTAGTCAGGTCCCACTGTGCTCAGGTCAGGTTAGACTCATAGACTTTAAGACCAGAAGAGACCTTGTGATTTTCTGATCTGACTTGCACATTGCAGGTTACAGAATCTCATCCAGTCTTGTAATAAACCCATATTCTCCGGATGAGTTACTGAATTCCTCAAATAATGATTAAAAAACTACAAGTTATGGAGAATCCACCATTTACTCTAATTTAATCTGCACGTGGCCTGTGTCCTGTGCTCAGAGGAAGGCTTATAAGGTTCTAGTTTGAAATGTATAATACTATGCAAAAATATTCAGTTGTCTATTTGAACAATTATTTTGATAAAGACACTTGTATAATTTTTAATTCAGGATTGTTTGTACTTTCCTTGAGTAAGTGTGAAGGTAAAACTTTGTGGCTACATCTACACTGGCATGATTTTGCACAAGAACTCTTTTGTGGAAGAGTTCTTGTGCAAAAACTCTTCCAGAAGAGAGCATCTACACTGGCATGTGCCTTTGCGCAAGAGATGTGCTTTTGCGCAAGAGCATCCTTGCCAGTGTAGACGCGCTCTTGCGCAAGAAAGCTCTGATGGCCATTTTAACCATAGGGCTTTCTTGCACAAGAAATTCATGTTGCCTGTCTACACTGGCCTCTTGCGCAAGAACAGTTGCGCAAGAGGGCTTATTCCTGAGCGGGAGCATCATAGTTCTTGCGCAAGAAGCACTGATTTCATACATTAGAACGTCACTGTTCTTGCTCAAGAACTCGCGGCCAGTGTAGACAGGCAAGATCACGCCAATGTAGGCACAAGCAGTGTATTTAACTTTGATCTCAAGAAGCAAAATATGAGTGGTATATACTGTTGTGTAGTTTTAGATACAATATATGGCTTATATTAAAAATGCAGACTTAGAAACAACAAAAATACTTGGGAGCAAAAGGTACCCTAAGGGCACATCTACATAGCAGGGCTAAAGCCAAAATAAGATACCCAATTTGAGCTACGTCAATTGCGTACCTTAAGTCGAAATAACTTATTTCGGCTTTTGGCACTGTCTACACAGCAGGAAGTCCGAGGTAGAGCACTCTTCCTCTGACTTCCCTTACTTCTCATAAAATGAGGGTTACATGAGTCAGAGTAAGAAGTCCTCCAGCTCGGCATTATTTTGACATTGTCGAAATAACTGCTTGTAGTATAGATGTGGATTATGTTATTTTGGAATAACTAATGTTATTCCAAAATAACACTGCTATGTAGACTTAGCCTAAGAGATTGTTAATGGAATTTATAGCATTTCATCAATTCAATCCATCTTAGGTGAAAAGTTACTGCCAAGTGATGACTGCTGTTCAGTAGCTTGTGTGCTCTTTTGCTAGTCTCAGTCCAATCCTTGTGGACAAATGTTCACTTAACAAAAAACATTTTCTCTTGGCCTTAAATAATACTTTTGCTGCAGATCTCCACTGAGAGGAGCACAACAGCAGAATTGGCATGCAGACTAAATAATTAACTTCTCAAGATTAGTGATCTTTTAAGGGATGAGGCATGCTGGGAGGAAGGCTTCCAGGCAGCGGAACAAACAGAAAAAAACCCTCTTCTTTCAGTACAGCAGCATTATCCTGTTAAGTGAGACAGACCCTGGGCATCAGTGCAAGAAAAGTCCCTACCTTGTCATTGGCTTAAGGGGGTGTTGCTAGAACATGGAATCTCTAAAGGTGAATAAAATGCCAAGAGAAGGCCCGTTTGGCATCTCAGAAAACTTAAACAAAAATTGTAAAGATAAATACAAATAACGGAACGTACTTTAATTTTGAATTATTGTAATATAGCTTGAATATGACATGCTTGATTTTTGGAAGAATGGAAATCAAGTTTCAGAACTGTATTAAACTGAAGAACTCACAATTAAATTAGCTGACTTCATTAGCAAAGAATTGTAAGGCAATATAACCTTGTTCATTTGTCCTCATCTGGTGAGGTTGGAAACATGCTATAGGTCTGGTATCCCACAACAGTTAGCATGTACATTAATTACTTGAAAGCTAATATGGAATCACTTAAGATGCTTTCATTTTAGGCTCCAGTACCTAGTGGGTTCCATTAAGACATCAGACACGTGTTCAAATGGAAAGGAGTTTAATAGAACTGGCAGAAAAGGTCAGCATTCATAGTAGGGATGTTAAATTTAGATTAATCACCTAATCAAATAGTTGATGGATTTTTTTCATTGACTACTTGATTAGTTGATAAGGGGGGCGCTTACTATCCTGCCTCGCCTCTGCCTTTGAAATGCACAAGAGCTGCCGGCGGCTTTTGTATATTTCAAGGAGAGAGACACCGGTTCCTGTTGCCTTTCTCCCTTTGAAATGCACAGGAGCCACCCGTGGCCCTTGCATATTTCAGAGGGAATGAAGCAGTGGGGATTGAAGCGTGGATAGGGATGTTACATTTCGATTAATCAGCTAATCAGTACTTAATTAGTTGATAACGGGGGCACTCGCTTGCATGGGATCCCAACTGCTGCCCCTCTCCCTTGTACATTTCAAAGAGCTGCCTGCACTTCATTTAGCATTTGCTTATCGGGTAGTAGTTGACTAGTCACTTACATCCCTAATTCATAGGAACCATCCAAAAGTTGGTTAGCTAGTGTGCCCAATTTTATTCCATTTCTCTGCTAAAGGAGTTTGGGTATCCCTACAAATCCTTTAGTCAGTTCCACATTGTCTTACTTGGGGGGGGGACCCTCCACATTCTTACATGTTGAAGAGTCACCAGTAGGCTGCCTTGTCATTGCTTCCCCAGATATCAAAGTATGAAATGAGCAGCAGTGCCAGTTCTTTGTGCCCCAGCTTTCATAATTCAGCTTCTTTCCAAGCATACTTCTCCTTTTAGGTTCACAAAACACTCCTGCCTGGGTAACCCATGCTGGACCAGCCATCATCCCAGTTGTTTCAAAATGTTCTCCTTTTTCTGCTGACCTACTAATCCTCCAGTGGTGGAGGGGAAAAAATTAGTGAAGATGTTGCTTAGGCAGATTTAACTTCTGGTATACACCCTGACTATGTGAAGTGAGAAGCTCTTGCAGTTCTGCTTAATGTATCTGGTACATATTCACCCTAAACTAAATGTGTTGCTTTCAATGGAATATTCTGGACTTACAGAAGATCAGTTATTAAACTGGAGGTCCTTCCACTATAGGGTTAAATTAATACATTGTTGCTTTTTTTCCCCTGAAGGCTGAACAGCTGATTGAACGACTTCAGACTGCAAGTGCTGCCAGTTGAAAGCACATTGCCTAGTCTTGGATCACAAATCAACTTCGATTTTGATCTTTGAACTCTAAGATTGTATTGTTCAATGCAACTATTTGTGAGGTTTAAAAAGGACAAGCTTGATTTGATTGCCTGTTCCTTCAGAGCAAGAAACTTTTGATAGTCAATCTCATTATTAATGTATGTGTTCTCAAGTGTTCTGATAAGATGCAAAATATTTGAGTGGAAAATAGAATAATATATAACATACTAGTTCTAGTAAAACACAGTATAAACAGTAATGATTTGAATGTATTAAAACTGTGTAAATTTTCAACAGTAACTGTTAATGGTATGTATGCTGAACCAAGTTGAATGCTCAAAACTGGAATCTAGCTTTTTTATATTAAAAACATTGAGGAAATGCAATAGTGTTTAAAATGGACAGGCTTCCTTTAGTATCTGCTGGAGTCATGCTGGTGATGTTCTGTTTTAAGTAGGTACAGTGCTAAAGGGAGACATCATTGGGGGGTTTTTTTTTTGGTGCTAAACCATTTAAAAACATCATTGCATCTTGCAAGATAATGGTCTGCAGCATGTGCTAAATATAACACATTGTGCCCAGAATAGTTTACAATGTAGAATTTAGTTTAAATGTGTGGGAATGTTTATATATTGGCTTGGATTAAGATTATTGCTTGTCTTGAATATTAATACTGTAATTTAACTCTACGTTTAAAAATTGTAAGGTATTTGGATTGAATTAACACACTTGCCTTTGGGTATTAAATGTAACCTAAAAGCTAGATTAAGGACTTGTCTACACAGTATGTTACAGCACTAGAAGAGCGGGGTGTAAATTCTAGTGTACATTACTCAATTGCATACTAAATGGCCTTTGTGGATCTGCAGACACTCTCTAAACAGTAATACATTAACTCACATTAAGGAATTTTTAGTGCATGCCACTGCGGCCCACATGGGCCAGTTAGTGTGCAACATGCTAGCATGCACTAGAATTCTACATCTTTCTTGTGTAGACAAGTCCTAACAATATATGATTCTACTGAATGTCACTTGTAGTATTTACTTATGCCATGGGTGAATGCGACTCCTATATATTTGTCACAAGATAAATTGTTCAGTGATGGTGAGCTTTATTATTTTTTAGCTCATCACACATAACTACCATATAATCTGATATATTTTAGCATATCTGGGATTCAGGAAAAAAACAAAACAGGAGGTGTTTAGTTTCTGCAATGCTAACAGCCTAGGTGGTGGTTATCCACTGCATTTACAGGTTTATCTGAGAAATCTTGCAGTGCTTTCCACGGATCCTGTTGCCTTAGTGATGCAGCATGTTGTAATATTTATTTATGTAACACCTTACTTGTATATAGTACTTGAAGTATTAAAATTTACTGACCAAACAACAACATTCCCTGCCATGAGGAGCTTAATTCTATCTTTTTTTCTGAGACATTACACTTAGCCTGTGTCTGCAGCTGGAGCTGAACATGTGGTTCCTGGACTGTGTAGACATACCTGACCTAGCTTGCCTTAAAATATCATGCTATAAATAGCAGTGTATTTTAGGACAGTGTTTCTGAAAGTGTACTGTGGAAACAGTTTCAGAAACACTTTAACTGGCTGCCCCGGTTTTTTTATGTACAGGCACCGCGGCCACAGAACCTAGCCACTCCCATTGGCTCCGTTTTGTCCTTTGCAGCCAAGGGGAGACGCAGAAAGCCACAGAAAGGGTGTGTCTGGACGCGACGCGCCGACAAAGAAGCCTTTCTTCATCGGCACAGGTAAGCCTCGTGAAACCAGGTTTACCTGTGCCTGGGGTCGGCAGATCCCTGTCTAGACTGCTGCGCTGTGCCGACAATCAGCTGATCGGCACAGCGCGGTGGCCATTTTGATTAAAATGAAGCGGCGATTATTTAAATCCCAGCTTCATTTCCCTTTGTTCTGCCTAGTCTACATGGCTCCGTTGATGGAGCCATGTAGTCTAGACACACCCAAAGTAATACACTTTCAGAAACACTGTTTTAGGGTAGCAGAGGCAGGCGTTAGCAGTGGCAAGGACTATCTGCCCTGATTTTTATCCCACGTAGACCCTGGAGGGACCTACTCAAAGCATCTAGCTCATGCTGCCAACTTGCTGGTGCTATGATGGTTACATTGCTATTTTTAGCATGTGATCTTCATCAAAGCTGGCACAGGTATGTCTTTGTGACCTGGAAAACACATCTCCAGCTCCAAATATGGATGTGTAGTGTTAGTGTTTTGATCCTTTTGTTATAGGTGATTTGCATGTAATTTACAGTGCTTTGAAATCTGGTTTAATTTCAGATTGGTGCTAGGAAGACTTTGACTTATTCCTTGCAATAATTAGAGAAACAACCCTCACATCCTAACATGATTAAAATAATAGGATGTCAATATTATTAACACTTTTTAAAAACTGTTAAAAATACTGCTCATGAACACTGTGGTTGTAAGTTAATTTATGTAATTTAACTGTGATGCTTCATTACAAGCTACTTTAATGAGACAGTTTTAAAGTATTGTGGAAGAATAGCTTAATAAAAACCAGAAATAGTAAATGTTAATTTAGTCTGCTTGAAGTATTTTATAATTCTGTCAGAGATGGTAGCAAAGAGGTAGTGTTGAATTTTACTATTTTATTTTTAGGTGTCATACTTTTGCAGAGCTGCTAAAATGTGAAAATGAAAGTAACTTAATTCTGATACCAAAAAAAAGACAGGGTAACATTCTGTGCATAGAATGGAAGTCAAATGAGACAGAATGGTGCTGGAAACTGTTAATGCGGAAACAGAACCTTCACTTCTGGATTGCGAATTCTAATTAGGCTAGTAATGACAAAACAACAAAAATCCCACCTTGTCATTTACTAATTGTTGAGTGGCTTATATAAACAAAATAGGTTTAATCACATTCATGGGGTTGGTATTTACGTATCTCACTAATACAGCTATTGCCAATCATTGAGCTGGTTTTATTATGTTGAAGGGAGAGCTCTCTCCTGTTGGCATAAGGTCGCTGCGTGAGCAATCTTAGTGACATAGCAGTATTGGTACAACTGTGCTGCTTTAGATGTGGAGAAATATTTCTCAGTTTGATTTTAACTTTGTTTCCTTGGGGGACTGACACAGTTCTTGGTGGACCTGTTGGGAATAAAAACCTGTTGGAAATAAGTTTGCTTCTTGAAAAGGGCACTGACAATGTTAGTCACTTAAATAAAAAAAGTAAGATTTTTTTCCCTGATAGAATCCTTTACTCTCCTGATTTCTTAAAGCTTCCTGATCCCTATAGATATTTATTAGTATTTTCAATAAGATCGTGAATGGGCTGGTTCCTTCTCCCTTACAAGCCCTGCTAGGGCTTGTAACAGCATTTTACACTAGAGCTGAAATATGTAACATTCCAGGTTGAGGTGATATACCTATTACTAGTTCTGATTTGAGCTGTTGTGTTAAACAGTAAAAATGAGAGGGAAGGGGTGGAATAGCAGCCTGTGTACGCACCCTCTGAACATACTTGTGGGAGTAACCTCGTGCCATTGTGGCTACATGTTGTGAGAACCCCTGGATTAAAAGAGTTTGATGGCCTTACAGTGTGACCACCATCAATTGCTTGTAGCCATTCTTGAGAATTTTACCTAAAATCTATAATTAACTAGGAAAAACAAGTATGTACCTGTCCATGTCCAGATTAGGGATGTTAAAATGTTTGTGTAAACATGTAACAGCTGAAACTTGCAACAGTTACATGTTTACATGTTGGGGGGAAGTGGGAGCTGGTGCTTGTGAGTGTCCCTGTGCTGTTGCTCACGGAGGCAGCAGCGTGAGGAAGGGCAATTGGCTCAGCAGGAGCCTGTACATCCCAGGCTGGCAGGCTGAAAGTTGGCTCCCATCATGCACCAGCTCCTGCCTCCTCTGCTGCCTCTGGTACAGCGGCAGCAGAGTGAAGTGGGGAGCTATATGTAATCATGATGATGATAACTGTTGAGCCCAGGCTCATCAGTTAACGGTACTTGGATATACGTTCACATGCCTAGTCCAGATCATTGTAATTTATTTATGTAAGGTATTTTTGCAGACTAATAAAAATAATGTACAATTGTGTCTATTCATTATTGAACTCGGAATAGAAACAGTAACTTTGCATGGTTTTTTAGATTGCTAGTAAGTCTACTATGTAAAGTGGTATTTGTTTATCACTTTTCACAGCAGACTTACTCAACCCTGGCATGCTGGGGGACCAATTTAAGCCCTGGATGAGGAGGTGAGTAGAGAGCAGGAATCCAGAGCAATGGGGGTCTGGAGGAGGCAGCAGGGGTTGAGGAGGTGGTGGTGTGTGAGTACACAGATGGAATCCAAAACCTTACACCCTACTGGCCACCATTCCAGGGCAGAAGCCTGAGCACCACCACCCTGGGACGGTGAAGCACTCACACCGGTTGCCTATTCCTACAGTCTACATGTACACTGCAGGCTTTTTGCACAAGAACTGTTTTGCGCAAGACCGTCCATGACAGTGTGGACGCTCTCTTGCACAAGAAAACTGATGGCCATTTTAGCCATAGGGCTTTTTTGCACAAGAAACCCCTGTTGCCCATCCACACGGCCTTCTTGTGCAAGAGGGCTTACTCCTTGTGGGGAGAGGAGTAACTCTTGCGCAAGAACCCCTCTGTTGTGACACCTTACTGTAAATTTACTTGTGCAAGAATTCACTTGCAGTGTAGAGGTAGCCACAATGTTTGTGGCTCTGGAAAAGGGTAGGAATCAGCCCTTGCAAGAAGCCCTGGTGGAGAAGCCATGATTTTGCTGTTGCCTTTGCCTCCTCTCTAGCCTGGGGCTGTGGCCACAAGACAAGTGCCAGGTGGCCACATTTGAGAAATGGTATTTTAACCTGTTAACTTGATCATACATAAGCTCCATGTTTCCTCAAGCTGGAATTTACAGCTTCCAGTTCCAGTCTAGACGTACCCTTCGGATGCAATGTACATTTTCCTTTTCCCCAGAGCAGAGCTTGAGATTAATGCTAAAGTACCACCAATTAAACAGTAATATGGGTTAAACTCTGTATTTAAAGCACAAAGTAAAGTATTTTCTTGCATAACTTAGTTACAAGTTTGTCATAAGTACAACAAATTCTAATGTAAATCGATAATGATCTTTTAAGTTACTTTGGGGTATATTCCTAGCATGCTAGTTATAAACATTTTTAGTTTGCCCACTTTATTTTAAACTGGTATTAATAGAAGCTGCTGCATAAGAAAAATATCTCATGTCATCATACAACAGTTGAACATTTATTGAACTGTTGGCACTGTGCTTAATACGTCACACAACAATATGGTCAGTTCCTGTTCCAAAGAACTTACACTATAAACTAAATACTAACAAAGTAGACAGGTCACAACTAGAAGACATATACTTTTCTTTTGGTAGCATCGAAGTTATTTACTACTTGTGTGGAAACCAGAAAAAGTGAATCTTCTAAGAAGGCTCTAAAGGAAGAGAAGAAAGTAGCTTGCTGGAGTGAAAGTAGGAATTTTAATAAGATCAAAACCAAGGTTTTCTCCTGAATGTGGGGCAATTTAAAATATCAAACACCAAAACTCAACACCTTGTAAAAAAAAAAGGTTCCTGGGAAACACAATGGCACTGATGGTTGTCATCAAGCTAGATGAGCATAATTAACGTGCAGTTATGTAGTGTGTTTTTTCAGTTGTGGATTTCAAAGTGCTTTTTAAAGGTGAATTATCCCCATGTTATGCCAGGGAACCTGAGGCACAAAAGTTCAAGTATTTGGTTTGCAACATACAGCTAGTGAATATTCATGCTGAGATTAGTAGCCAGGTCCACACTCCAGTCTCATGCTCTACTTAATGTTTTTCTGACAACCTAGATAAACCCAGGATTTTATTTTTTATCCCCTGTATATTAGAGAACAAATTGGCCAACCCCAAGCTTCTGTTAAGGTATTAGCCATTGCTGGAAGCATGATAGCAGGGGTGTGCATAGGAATAAAAAATTGGCCACTTCTTGAGGGGCATTTTTCTGCCCCCTTAGAAGAGCTGGCGCACTCATTCTCCTAGGCTTGATGAGCTGTCTCTACCCAGGAGGATTCAAGGAGCTTGCTCTCCCTGCCTTGGTCCTGAATAGTTCTGTGTCCCTGCTGATCTGGAGCAAAACAAGAAATTGTTTCAACTGAAAGTGAAATGTTTTCAATTTTCTTTTTGCTTCTTTTATTTCATTGGGTAAAGGATAGAATAGGGTAGGGGGAATGAAAATTGAAAACTAAACCTTGTATATTAAGTCAAACAAACTAAGTGTTAAAACAAAACAAACATTTTGAAAGCTTTCTGGAAAAATTTCATTCCTTTAAATTTTTTTCACATGGTAAATACCATTTTTGACTAGCTCTAATAGTTAAAATAATGGTTTGAACATATCAAGCTCTTTCTGAATCTATTAGACAACTGAATTAACCTTCCACATCCCTCTGAGACAGGGGAATTTAACAAAGGAGGAAAGCTGAAGCACCAGACCTGTTAAATCATTTGGCTCAACATCACATGAGCTGAATCTACTGTCAAAAGTGGAGTATGTTATCCCCACTGGATGCAATGCACTAGCGGAAACAGGGATCCTGAGTATATTACAGGTTTCAGTGAGGGATGTAAAAATATTCAAAAACAGTTAACCAGTTAAATAATTAAAACAG